CTGGGGAACTGAGTAAGATCCTGTCTCTAAAAACAAATTTGAGCACAGTGGCTCAAACCTGTAATCCCAGCACATTGGGAGGCCGAGGTGGGCAGATCACTTGAGGTCAGGGGTTCAAGACCAGCCTGGCCAACATGGTGAAACCCCATCTCTACTAAGAATACAAAAATTAGCCGGGCATTAGCCGGGCATGGTGGTACATGCCTGTAGTCCCAGCTACTTGGGAGGCTAAGGCAGGAGAATGGCTTGAACCCAGGAGGCAGACGTTGCAGTGAGCCAAGATCTCACCATTGCACTACAGCCTGGGCGACAGAGCAAGACTTCATCTCAAAAAAAAAAAAAGGAAAGAAAAATATCGTAAGTAGAAATGCATCAGGTTACAACCCAGTAAGCCCATTGTGACATTGAAAAATTGTGAATTGAACCATTGTAATTCAGATGCTTCTTGATTTAAGATGAGATTATGTCCTGATAAACCCATCATAAAGCCAAAACATCTTAAATTGAACCATCCGAAGTCAGGGACAGGCTATAGGTAGTCCAGAATTGAAGTGAATTAGTGGCTACCCAGCTGGCATCTACTGTAGAATTGACTGCTTACTTCATGTGTGTGGTTTTACCACACACATCTGGTATCAGAAGCGTGTTGTGAGCGTGTGGCAGGAGAAACTGAGTCTGTTTATTCCTGTATACACACAGGGCTTCGTGCTGTGTCACTCCATCGCAGGGGGTACAGGTTCTGGCCTGGGCTCCTACCTCCTGGAGCGACTGAATGACAGGCAAGCCTGTGTTTGGGGAGAGGGCATTAACCCTGGTTCCCTGGGTAATCTCATTGCTTTTTTTCTCTTGAGTTAGAAAGTCTGCCATTACCCCTTTAGAGTCATAGGGACAGACTCACCCAAGGACCATGCTGGAAGCTATATTGGGGTGGGGGGATTTACCTAGGGAGGGGAGGGGATCTACAGAGTTTGATGCTTTTGGGCTTCTCCTTTTTGGCTCTAAAGACAGTCTGCCCTCACCTCTTTTGTACAAAATGGTACAGATGGGCAGTGATGGGGTTCCTTCCAGTTCACTATGCCACCACCCTCTTTTCTCTCAGGTACCCCAAGAAGCTGGTGCAGACTTATTCAGTGTTTCCCTACCAGGATGAGATGAGCGACGTGGTGGTCCAGCCCTACAATTCACTCCTCACACTCAAGAGGCTGACACAGAATGCAGACTGTGTGGTGAGCAAATTAAGAGTTGAGGGGGTGGGTGCGGTGGCTGATGCCTGTAAGTCTAGCACTTTGGGAAGCTGAGGTGGGTGGATCTCTTGAGCTCAGGGGTTCAATACTAGCCTGGTCAACTTGTGAAACCCTGTCTCCACAGAAAATACAAATATTAGGGCTGGGTGCAGTGGCTCATGCCTGTAATCCCAGCACTTTGAGAGGTCAAGGTGGGTGGATCACCTGAGGTTGGGAGTTTGAGACCAGCCTGACCAACATGGAGAAACCCCATCTCTACCAAAAATATATAATTAGCCAGGCGTGGTGGTGCATGGCTGTAATCCCAGCTACTCAGGAGGTTGAAGCAGGAGAATTGCTTGAACCTGGAAGCTGGAGTTTTCGTGAGCCGAGATTGTGCCATTGCACTCCAGCCTGGGCAACAAGAACAAAATTCTGTCTCAAGAAAAAAAGAGTAGGGACTTTGATCTATCTCCCCAGGCTTTTTTTTTTTTTTTTTTTTTTTTAACTGTCTGAATCAAAGGTTTCTATTTATTCTTCTCCCCAGGCCAGTGAGTCTCATTCACCCTGCCCTTCCCCAGCCCTCTCCACACAGAACTGAGGCCCAACAAAGCCATACCTGTGGGCCAAATTAGGAAATAAGGTCCTGATCTCTAGGTTTCTTAGAATCCTCTTAGGCAGCAAGACTCTCAAAAAAGTGAATATACCTCCCCCTACCACCACATACCCCACCTTTGCCTACTTAATGCCCACTCATGCTTGAACTCTCAGCTCAAGGATAACTTTCTTAACAAAACCTTTCCTGAATACTCAGTCAAGATGGGATTCCTTTGTGTGTATTTCTAGGAGTTAACTATACTTTTCTGTTTTATATTTAGTGCACCTCCTTCCATACTAGACTGCAGACCTAATGAAGGGAAAGATGGTGCCTGTTCCTCTCTGTGGTCTTCCCAGAGCCAGGCAGTGTACGCACATGTGGATACTCATGTGTTTGTTTACTGCCCTGCATGGTCCGAGAGTATCTCATGATGCCCCAGAGACAGTACTTTTGTTTCTTTTTATTTTTTATATTTTTTATGGAGATGGCATCTTGCTGTGTTGTTTAGGCTGATGTCCAACTCCTGGCCTCAAGTGATCCTCCCACCTCAGCCTCCCAAAGGGCTGAGGTTATAGGTGTGAGCCACCATGCCCAGCAGTTTTTGTTTTAAACTAATAAACCTCTTCCTGGATCTGGAGTTCAGCAGGGGTTAAGCCAATATCTTATTTCTATGCCCATTTTCTCCTCAAGAAGCTGTGACCCTCTGCTGTCCCCGCAGGTGGTGCTGGACAACACAGCCCTGAACCGGATTGCCACAGACCGCCTGCACATCCAGAACCCGTCCTTCTCCCAGATCAACCAGCTGGTGGGCCCCCACTGCTGGACTCCTTTGGACTGGAAGCCCTCCTTTCTGGAGGGTCATCTGGGGAAGGGAGGTCCCACTCAGGCCGAGGCCTATGACATGGCACCCCTGTCCCCAGGTGTCCACCATCATGTCAGCCAGCACCACCACCCTGCGCTACCCCGGCTACATGAACAATGACCTCATCGGCCTCATCGCCTCACTTATCCCCACTCCGCGGCTCCACTTCCTCATGACCGGCTATACCCCGCTCACTACGGACCAGTCAGTAAGAGCAGCCTCAGTGTCCCAGGCCAGGCCAGCCCTGGGCCCCGCAGGCCCTACCTTAGCCTTTCTCTCCTCCTCTCTGCCCCAGAAGCTTTGCAGGCGACTTTCTTGTTGACTTGCTCTCTACCTCCCCTCTGCCTTTGGCTTCTGCCAAAGAGAAACCAAAAGGGGGACTGTGTCCTGAGCCCTGGCTGGGTCCCCGTTTCACTGTCCATCAGGTGGCCAGCGTGAGGAAGACCACGGTCCTGGATGTCATGAGGCGGCTCCTGCAGCCCAAGAATGTGATGGTGTCCACAGGCCGAGACCGCCAGACCAACCACTGCTACATCGCCATCCTCAACATCATCCAGGGAGAGGTGGATCCCACCCAGGTAGGGGAGGCCCCTTCATCCCATACCCTGGACCCACAGGGGTAGAGGAGAGGCCACTCCACTGCTCCTGTGCCTACCCCAGGTCCACAAGAGCCTGCAGAGGATCCGGGAACGGAAGTTGGCCAACTTCATCCCATGGGGGCCCGCCAGTATCCAGGTGGCCCTGTCGAGGAAGTCTCCGTACCTGCCCTCGGCCCACCGGGTCAGCGGGCTCATGATGGCCAACCACACCAGCATCTCCTCGGTGAGTCTGGGTTTCTGTTCTTAGGACAGTAGGACAGTCTGTTCCACTGGTCACCTTCATCATCTTCCCCAAGTTTGTTCCTAACCCCCGGCTCGCATTTTGGAGATTTTTGTCTCTTTCAGCTCTTTGAAAGTTCCTGCCAGCAGTTTGACAAACTGCGGAAACGGGATGCCTTCCTTGAGCAGTTCCGTAAGGAGGACATGTTCAAGGACAACTTTGACGAGATGGACAGGTCTAGGGAGGTTGTTCAGGAGCTCATTGATGAGTACCATGCCGCCACACAGCCAGACTACATCTCCTGGGGCACCCAGGAGCAGTGATTTCCCTCCCTACTACTCCTGGACGGGAAGCACAGCCTCAACCATGCCTGCACCCTCTGACCCAACTTCACCTCATGGACAACCCTTCTTGGCTTATCTCCAGCGCATGAGCTGGTCCTGCTTCTTCTCTCCATGCCCTGACTCTTGATATGCTTCTTCAGCTCTACTAAAGTAATAAAGCTTGGTTGTCAGTATAGCCAGGGCTTGATCTGTGAATACAGGGGGTGGTGAAGGGGTCCAGTTTCTAGGCATCTGACATAGGGTGGCCTTCACCTCCTCCATCGTCTTACCCCTTAGTCCAGATTTTAGTGTGTTCACTTTCCACTGGCCTCCCTCACCTTGAACTGGGCTGTTTTACTAGAGGCAGCCCTAAGATTACAGAGCTTTACTGAGGTCTGCTGTCTCCTCAGTACCTAAGCCTTTGCCCCAGGGAAGGTCAGTGTTGCCCCAGCCTCTTCCACTCAGGGCAGAGGAGGTGGGGTCTCTGTCTCCTCAGTGCCTAAGCTTTTGCCCCAGTGAAGGTCAGTGTTGCCCCAGCCTCTTCCACTCAGGGCAGAGGAGGTGGGGTCTACTGAAGGAGGGCACACTGCATTCCGAGCAGGCCAGGAGAGCCGGGACTCTGGAATCCCAGTGCCCAGAGCCATGAGAGTCCCAGGAACTCACTCTAGTTCAACCCAACCTGGTAAGTAGAAGCAGAATTCAAGAGTGGGGCTGAGCACATCCTGAGTTACTTTTCTGTGCCAGAGAAATTCGTGGGTTTGTTATCTGCCCCAGCTTCTCTCCATTCTAGGCCCAAAGCATTAGGCCCACCAATGATGGGCCAGAACTCGACACCAGAGTAAGAACTGGGCAGTACCAGATCTGATGACTCACTGCCCTCCAGCTTCAGGGATGCCAGGAGGCCATCCATATGCCACTCAATGGAGAAGGGAGGGTGAGTAACTGCCAGCTTCCAATGAGGCCTGTTTGCCTGCTCCACCCACAAGCCTGTGGCAGCATAGTGGCCGGGAGGAGGTTAAAGTCTTGAAGGTCAAGGAGGGGGAGGGTGAAGCACTGTGGTGTCCACACTTTCCCCAGAGCCTGGTAAAAGCCCAGAGTGTGGGCATCCCCAGAGGCGGGGCTCTGCATTATGGGGTTCCAACTTGTTCCACTGAATAACACTCCCACAGGAAGGGTTTGTGTAAATAAGAAACTTTTTTTTTTGCTTCTCTTCTACAAATAAATTAAGAAACAAACTAGAAAATTGCCCACACCCATTGTAGCCCTTGGGTGTGGGATGTGCCCTGTCCCTGCAGGGCCAAAAGGGTCCACGTTTCCCTCAAATCTCAGAGCAGTCCTGGCCCAGGCTGGAGGCAGGCGGGAAGTCGTGACCTTTTGGCAGGCTCAGTCCTGCAGCTGCCCCAAGCAGCCAGACTGTCCCTGGGGCTCATCCAGGCCTGGGTGCTGGCTGGGAGGGGAGGTGTCTGGCAGGTCTTGGCATGGAGGAGAAGAGCTGCTGCAGGGCCTCTCGGGGGAGGGGTTGGCCAAGTAGGCATTCACCAGCTGCATGATCTCTTCTACCTAAGAGAGGGCAGAGGTCAGTGTGCAACAGGAGCTGTGGGGTTCTCTACTTTTTCTCATTCTCTATGCCCCTGCAACCTTTCCTTCCTTATCTCCACTCTCCCTCATTTCTATGTGCCAATCCTACTTGCTTCTTTCTGCTCCTCTAACAAGCCAAGTTTACTCTCATCTCAGGGACTTTGCCTTGCAATTCTTTCTACCGAGAATGCTGCTCCCCAGGTCTTCCTTGGCCAGTTTAAATGGCAGCCTCTTTGGAAACCCTTCCCTGACTTCCTGTCACATCACTCTTTCCTTTGTAGCATTTCTCACTGTCTTAATAGCCTGGGATTCCTTGTTTATTGTTTGACTCTCCAACTCTAGTGTAAGCTTCTTGAGCTTGTCTGTGATGGCTGCTAGATCCCAGTGCTTAGACTCCACCTGGCTCAGGCTTGGAGTTCAGTAAATGTTTCCTGACATCCCTTCCTTCTCTCCTCCTCCCACAACCCCTCTTCCCACTTACCTGGGGCTCTGCAGGAGGAGCTGACTCTCCCCCACCCTCAATGCCAGGGTGTGGGGGCCTATTAGCTGGCAGGCGGCCACATGGCCATAGCTGACACTGTGGATGGGCTCTGTCTCCCCCGGCCGGGAGAGGGACATGGCCTTGGCTCCCAAGCCCAGGCATAGCTTTTGTGGAGCACCCCCACCAGGCTCCTGCAGACAGAGGGGCAGAGTCAGGGTGGAAGGAGGGAGACCAGCCTTATTTTGGGGAGGCGGAGATGGGTGGCTGTTAGCAGGAGTTTCCTAATCCCCTATGATTCACAGCACGTGTGTGGAGGGGCTAAGGCTCCAGGGATGTGAGGGCCCAAGGGCTGGTGATTCCTGGGGTTTGAGATGGGTAGCTGTTCTGGATGTGGGAAATGAAGTGACCCTCAGTGGGGATCTGTGGCTCTGGGGCAAAGGTGTGGGGCTTGGGCCACCAGAGTCCCCTTCTCCCTTCTCCCCCTCACCGTGCTCAGCTCCAGAACGTCATACCGAGCAGCGCCGAACCCCGGACACTGCGCCGCCAGGGTCAGGTAGGCGGCCATGGCCTCAGCTCGGCCCATGCCCCGTAGCCGCTTCCAGCTGCCCAGCACCGCAGCTGCCGTGCTGGTGCTGCTGCCTCCCTCGTGGGCTGTGGTTCCCGCCATGCGGCCGGCCCCGCCGCGCCTGGCCCGCTCCGCCCGCCTCTTGGCCAGGCCTGGGCTCCAGAGCGCCCCGGCCAGCAGGGCAGCGGCGGAGGGGGGCGGCCTGGAGGCTGGGCGGGGCGGGTCTTCACTCGGAGGGGCCCGGGGCGGTAGCAGGCGGTCCAGGCGGGGCAGGGGCACCCGCGGGGAGAAGTCCCGGTGCAGGCTCTGCAGGCGTAGCGCCGCCAGGGCGCGCAGCGTGTCGTCTGGCGGGGGCGGGCCGGCCCCGCAGCAGCAGAGCGTGAGCCTGCAGGGGAGGCACTTCGCGTCAGTGCACCAGCGGTGGCGGGACCGTCGCGAATACGCCTTGTGGAATCTAAGAAGGTCTAGGTTCCAGTCAAGCCTCCCGCGGGGCTGCCATAGTGATGAAATGAGATGGCCCAGAAAACCAGAGGCTCAGGCTTGGGGGTCTATTAGCAGGCATGAACGCCGGGGAGCCTCACCTGCTCAAAGAGGAAAGGCAGTTCGTGACTGTCTGGGGACAGCCCCTCAGGGTGCAGAGGTCCGTGAAGACGCAGACACAGTCTCCACCCGGAATCAGGGGAGTCCTCCAGCCCAGCTTCTTCCGCTGCCAAGCTGCAGAAGAGGAGCGGACGCGATGCTTTGGAGAAGCAGGGCCCCTACAGCGCCGCAGCTGGGGGTGGGGCGGGGGCATATGTTTGGGGCGGGGCCTGGGCGGAGCTGACCGCAGAGGTGATGCTGGAGTCGGACTGCAAACCTGCTACGGGCAGGTCCATCTGTAAACCAGCGAACGCCACAGCGCAGAGCCAGGGGCAAGTACAGACTAACGTCTGCTTAGAGACTGACCGAAGCTGAGTAGTGGATAGGCCAATAGGGAGCGGGCTGGGCTGGACATTTACTTCTCAAACCTGGTGAGCACATCGGCCACGAGGGTCCCCCCAGCCAGGGCTCGCTCCTGGGCCCCTCGCTGCTCGTACAGCGCGAATGCGTTGCGACTCCGGGCCAAGCCCAGCTGCCCACCAGCTCTCGAGCCACCTAGAAGAGGAGGGTGAGGGGGAAGTAAGACCATTCAGGTGATCTTGCCAGGATTATGGGAGGGGCTGATTCAGTTGGAAGGGATCTCAGTCCTGTCACCACCACTCCATTCCTTATCAAAATAATCTGACACTCGGGCAAACCTAGGGCCCAGGAAGCGGGGAGAGGCAGGCGTAAGAAGCTGGCGGGGTGGTGGGTTGGAGGTCATGGGGCCTTTCTCTGGCCTCACCTCGCCCGCCGTGGTGTGGGAGTCGATGGCCACAGCACAGGGACCAGCCCCCGGACAGTGCACGGTGCACAGCAGCTCCTGCCGTCGGCTCAGCGCGGAAATTTCCGCCAGGGAAGGCACCAGCTCGCGGGCCACGAGTCCGGCCCAGCGCTTTCCGGATGAAGCGCGCATATTCCGCCAGTTCCGAGTCCGGGAGTGCCTGCTCGGTCCTGGGTTAGGAGGAACCCGGAGATCAATGCTCGAAGGACTTTCCTTCTTCCCCTCCCTCTGGCTTCTTCTATTATAGTTTATCTGGCCGATTTCTTCCCTGTCCCAACTCAGGTTCTTCAAAGGCTCTCCTAACAATGTCCCCTGTGCTTTGCATTGAGCTGAATTACTTTCCAGTCCCCTGCAGCTTTCTCCCAACCGCCCCACCACTTCCAAGTCTCCATGAACTTCCTTCGGGCTGATATCGAAATCCAGCCACTTTACTACACTTTCCTAACCCCTGGCGCTATCCTGCATCAGCTCTAGGAAAAGCAGCCTTTTTGTAATTCCTCAGCCCAAAGGGGACGTTTATTGTAATTCATCTGCTCACAAGTGAGATAGAAGGCACTGTGTGTATTACCAGCAGCCCTGGCCTTGGGCAAGTCCTTTCCCTTTTCAGGATCTAGGTTCTTATCTACCAAACCTTTTGCAAAAGACTTCTCATTCTCTCCCAGCCCAGTAGCTCCTCCACTAAGCCTTAACCCCCGCCCCGCCCCTCTCACCTCTCCAAGTGCCCCAGGAGGTGTCCCCGCACAGCTACCCCAGGCCGGAAGGTGCAGCTCATGCAGGTGAGGAGTTGCCAGTACCGCAGGGCCGCAGGGTCTTGGGTAGCCGGGAGCCCGGGGGGGCCTGCAGGGCCCGAGGTCTGCTTAGCCAGCTGCAGGAAGAGTTCATCCCGGAGCGCGGGCAAGTCCCGGCAAGTTTGGAGCACACCCTGCATTAAGGGCCCGGGGCGCCGCGCCCCCTCCAACGCCTGCAGCGCCAGGAACAGCCGTACCGCCTCCTCACGCAGGGGTGCATAGCCCGGACCTGTGGGAGGGTGAGGACGGAGGGACGGTTTGGAGAGGGAACACAGAACTGCACCCTGGGAGGAAGGCAAGAACCAGGGGAAGGTCAGAGGGAATATAAGGGGATGGGGTGGTAGGTAGAGAAGGATACGAACGACAGGAAGAGTGAAGGAAAAGCAGTGGTCCCTGCCTCCCAGGAATCCCCTTTCCAATCCCACTAAGCCTGGATTTGGACTTAGGGAAAGGAATGGGCAAGGGACTATTGGTTCACACCCCAGATTCTGTAACTAGATACTGAGGCTCATCACCACAGGTCAGAAAACAGGCTGGACTAGGAGTCAGAAAACCGGGATTCCTCTCCCAGCACCCTTTAATCCTCTAACTTTAGGATCTGGGCCAGTCACTACACCACTTAGGGAGAAGTACAGTTGGATGAGGCCAGCACATTCGACCAAAGTGGTAGCTTTTCTACCATTCATAAAGGTAATATGACATGGTCTCAAGAGTATGATGGAAAAATAGAAGAGCGTGTGTACAAACTCCTGAAGCAACATCAGTAGGCAGAATGAGACCCACAGAGAAGGTGGTCAAAGGGGACCCTTTTGTGAGTGCTGGCTTCCTCCCCTCCCCCTGGCCAGCTACCAGTTTCACCTTCATTCTTTGAAAAGCAAGGAGCTGGCAGGCCCCTGGAGGATGCTTATAGGTCCCTGCCAGTTAAGGGATTCGAATTCTTACCTCTGATCCACCCCATTCCATCCAGGGAGACTTGGAGACAGCACTCACCTGGGGTGTTGACTCCATAGGGCAGGGGCAGGAGTGGGGCGTACAAGGCTCCACTGGTGTGTCTCAGAATTGGGTTCCGCAGGTAAATAAGGGCAACGGCCTCTGGGTCCCCACAACTTTCCTAGGGGCCAGGGAGAGGGTCACCTTGATGGGGAAGGGAGTTCCCCATGAGCCCAGAAAGCTTTGAAGTCCACCACTCTCCTGGCTCTCCCTGGTGTTCTCTCTTACCTGTATGTCCCTGAGCAGTAGCTGGGTGGGGGTCTCCAGGGGTGCCTTGGAGGCAATCACTTCCCGCAATGCCACCCCCCAGCGCTCGGCCTCTGCCTGGCGTGGGGAGCAGAGGTGGACACTGTGCTTCCGGCCAGACACAGTCACTGACCACAGACCTGGGGAAAAGAGAGGCCAGGCCGGGCAGGGCAATTAGGATCTGCAGGGGCCCCTGCCTAGGAAGGTAGGAGAGTGTCCCCACGAGGTCTCACCGGTCTCCTTACGCCGGCGCTCTGGACCTGTCACCGAGCACAGGCTGGTGAGCACAAGACTCCCGAGGCGCCGCGCCCCCTTCCCGCTGCTGCTGAACTGATCCAGGAGTCCCGCGTGAGCACGAACCAGGCTCGGCGTGGGGGTAGCCAGGGCCGCGCCCCACCTCCTCGGGGCTCCCGGTACAGCCAACCTGGGGGCAGGAGAGGGAGGGAAGGGACATCAGTAGGAGACATTAACCCTTGGAGGGTTGGGACTGGAGGCCTCCAGTGTACTGAGGGGGTCTCTACCTTTCACAACGATGTCCGGGTCGTCCTCCGGCAGCCCTTTCTCCGGGATGAGGCTCCAAGTTTCCTCCCAGCTCTGCAGCCTGGGCCAGAGGGGAGGAAGGGTTGGACTTCCACTCCACCTCTAGGGGGCTCCTCAGTAGGGGCTCCCCGGACCGCAGTGGTGTCTGCTCCCAAGCTGGGCACCCCTCCCCCAGGCTGTGGGAACCATTGGGCCATTCTGACCTCGCACCAGAAATAGCCCCGAACCCCCGCCTTTCTCCACGCGCCCCAGCCGGACCGCCCCCGGGACCCCAGCCAAACCACAGCGTCCGGCGTAGGGCCTCTCCCTTATTGCACAACTGGGAGGGAAGGACAGCGAGGATGGAGGTCCAGGGAACAGGCTGGGGTCTCGAGACTATGGGACGTAGGGGCGTAGCTCACCTGTGGGAGACTGGCCCGCTCCTCACCGGCTGAGTCAGTGTCACTTCCAGGGGACCCTGGGGAGACAGGCGGGGAAGCCCTCAGGATCAGAGCCCTTCCTGCGCAAGGTTTGGGCCTTCTGCCCTCAGGACAGGGCTGCTCAGGGGATTGAAGAGTCAGAGTGGGGTCGTGACTGGGGTGGAGTGTTCTGGAGCCGCTGGGCTTGCCCTTCGCGGTCTCAACACGGCAAGCTCTCCAGAACAGCAGGAGCTAAGGAGCCAAGGCTCCCTCCATTACCCTTTGAAGATACAATTAAGGGTAGGGTAGGGTGGAAAGAGCACTGGGCAGAGAGTCAGGAGATCTGGGTTCTAATTCCCGCCCCACCACTAACTCACTGTGGAACCTTGATCAAGTCTCTTCCCGTCTCAGGGCCTTAGCTTACCCAACTTTGAAACGGGAGAGGAGAGCTCACTCTGCCAGGCTCCAAGGCACCCTCTCCTCCTCATTTTCCCTTCTTTCACACTGCCTCCCTGGCCAGGGCAGGATAGGTGGTAGGCACAGAGGTGGACGAAGGGCAGAGGAACCTTTTCAGGATAGGGCTTTCTCCGAAAGTGTCTTGCATTCTCCCATAGACGTTCCTGAGACTAGTGAGCAGAGACCCTGCTCCTTTGCTGGGGCTTAGGAAGGGCGGGCCAGGCTGAGGAATGGCACACCCTCCGGAGGCAGGTGTAGATCAGGGTTTTGCCCTCCCCCTCCCCCTCATCTTCCCTTCCCCTGGCCTGGAACTTCAACTGTAGACTGGGGTCTGAGAAAGGCCACAAACCCAACCCGGAGGCCAGCCAGGCGGGAACCGTGCCATCCTCATATTGCGTCCAGGCTGCTAGAGCCAGGAGGAGGAGGTGGGGGAGGGGGCCAGGGACACCTGTCCCCAGGCTCCGGGAAGGGGGGGAGTGGAGGTGGAGCATGAGAGAGGCAATGGCCTGATAAGCCAACCCTGCCCAGGCTGGAAACTTGGGGACGCCTGGGTCCTGTGCCTTTCCTACCTGAACCTCCACCTATTTTCTGGAGGGTCTGAGTGAGGCTGTCAGCCACACCACATGTGGCAGGTACTGACCACCGTCTTAGACTAACTCCCCTATCCCAGTGCCCTGCTTTCCTCCCTCCCCTCCTCTATATTTATCCACCCTCCGCCTCCGCCAGGTGCTGGCGCCGGCCCCGACGGGCAGACGGCCCCACCCGGGCACCAAGCCACTGGGCCTGCTAGGGACCCCTGCGCGGAGGATGGGGGCCTGACCCGGGCCACAGCACAAGGGAGTCTGGCCGCCAGTATGCAGGGGGGATGGGAGAGGAGACGTCAGGGGATAGAGGTCTCCACACCAATTGTGCCTCCGTTTCCCCATGGGGAGATTCGACAAAACCAGGCAGCAACCCAGTGTCCCTCACCATCCATCCCTCGGGGGGTCCCAGGAGCCTCACCGGGGAAAGCCGAGATTAGTTCTGCCTTGAGTGGCAGGGTAATGAGGAGGAGTCCTCAAAGAGCCCCAGCTCCCTCGCCGTGGGGTCCCCGCCACGGACCCCAAACCCGGGATGACTTCTCCCTTCGCCCAGGTCTCCGCAGCTGGAGCTCTCGCATCTGGCTTCAGCGCTCGAGAACTGAGAGCTGAGGGGACCCAGGCGTTCCAGCCGCCCAGCCGGCCTCGCCACATTCCTCGGCGCTGGCGGAGGCGGAAGGAGACGGGATGGGACGTGGGCCCGGCGGGGAAGGGAGAGGCAGGGCCAGGTCGGGCCACGCGTGACGCCTCCCTTGCCTCAGGGCCCCTAGCAGGTGGACAGCGCCCAGCCTGCGGCGGGAGGCCCACAGGCACATCCCGAGTAGGGCTGCTGCTCCGAGAGCTCCCGGGGGCTTTGGCCCCCAGGCAAAAACCTCCCCCATGTCCCTAGTTCGCCAAGCGCGCAGCGTGTGGCTGGAGGCTGGAGCGGATCAGCGTGACGGCCGGTTACAGCGAGCGTGATTGAGACGCGGCTCCGAACCCGGGACTTACCCTCCCGCCGCCCGCTGGACTCGGGGTCCGTAGCTCAAAGGTTTCCTCGTCCTCGTCCTCTTCCCCGTCCCCGCTAAGCTCGCCGTCCCCGTAGTCCCGGTGCAGAAGAGTGAAGCCTCGACGGCAGCAGAGAAGCCACCACAGTCCCCCGGGAAGAGGCATCCGGACTAGGAGCCGGGGGATGGGGGCGCGGGCTGCCGCGGCCGAGCAGCAGGGGGTCGGAGGAACTGGCGGGGCTCCGACCCGAGCAAGGGAAAGATGAGGTGGGAGGAGCAGGAGGGAGAAGGGGACAGGGAGGAGACAGTGTCCTGGGCTGGGGTGCAAGGGGACTCTAGCCAGACGCTGAGGGGGGCTCGGTGTCCGGGCCCCCGGAGGGGGGAGGGGGAAAAGCGTTCAGGGCCCGGGGAGAGGAGGGAGCAATGTCCGGAGCTGGGAAGTAGTGTCTGTTGGAGCGTCCAGCCCTGTGGGGGGCAGTGTCCGGTGCAGCGTCCGAGGTGGGCAGTTGTCCAAGCTCCAGGGAGGGTCGTGTCCGGTAGGGCGTCCGGTGGCCGGGGCCCGGGTCGCGCGCGCTGCGCTCCCTGCAGCCCCGGGACTGGCGCGCTGGGGGCGCGAGCACAGAGCTGGGACCCCGCCCCCCCGGCCCCCTCCCTCCTGGGAACCCCCCCTTCTATCTTCTTTCTCTCCTCCCTTCTTTACTAGGCAGGGTCCTGGTTTCGTCACAGCTTCCTCTGTCCAATCCCTGTGCCTGGCGCCGGGCGCGGCTACCAATCAGAAGGCTAAAACCGCGGCGGGTTGCATCATGTGCCCCTGGCTCCGTGACAGCGGGGAGGGGCGGGGAAATAGGGAGGGAGGGGACGAGGCGATGTTAGCCACGCCCCAGTCTCTGAGGTCGGACGCGGGGTGCTAGTGACATCACGGAAGCCCGCCTTCAGGTTTTAACTCTTGGTTCACCAACCAACAAATTAAAAACCCTGTTAAAGAGCTTTGGCACAGGGCAGAGGAAAACCCGACTGCCTCTCTCTGAACCCCTCTCTCGTCTCAGGATCCCTGAGAAAGGGAAAAGCCTTGGCTACTAAAAGGATGTCAGACCTTCGAGGACACAGCTCTAGACGTGGCCCGACAGGTCTGGAATGAAGGAGTCCAGTTTCTCCGTGTGATTCAGCACTCCCTCACCCCCCCCCCCGCTTTTTTATTCTTCTCGCCCAGGTTGGGGTGCGGTGGAGCCATCATGACTCACTACAGCCTCGAACTTCTGGGCTCAAGGGATCCTCCCACCTCAGCCTCTCCGGGAGCTAGGGACTATAGGCACACACCACCATGCCTGGCTAATTTTTAAATTTATTTTTTTGTAGAAATAGAGTCTCACTATGTTGCCCAGGCCGGTCTTGAACTCCTGGGCTCAAGCTATCCACCCACCTTGGATTCCCAAAGTGCTGGGATTGCAGGTGTGTTCCACTGCACTCCGCCTCACCTCCTTTTTGAGGTGAAGGAATTGAGGCAGGGACTCTGGGAAGGCGCAGACCTAAGCCGGAAATAAAATCACCGAACTCAGCTCGGGAGAGCGGGTTGGTATTCTAAGGAATTCTGTGGTCTCCGAGTGGAGGCCTCTTATGGCGAATATCCTGCGGTTCTGTGTAGGAAGGGGTTAACCCGGGCGCTAGGCGACCGGGGCGGGGCCGCGGCCTCCGCGGGCGCGCGCGCGTTGCTGACTCAGCGGCGATTCCCGAGGTCTCTGATGCCGGGTTCTAGGTCGGTCCCCAGTGGCTGGCGTGCGGCACCCATTGAGGACCGGCGCCGTCTCCTGGCCTTCTCTGAATCTTGGCCCCTAGAGGCCGTGGCTTCTCGCCGCTGCCGCCGGAGGCTGTGAGAAGGACAACTAGCCAGTGCTGGGCTGGGCTGGACTAGGCGGGGCGGGGCGGGCGGGGCCGTCAGGCCAGCGCCTCCCTTGAGACCGCCTCGCCACGCCACGCCCCGCCACGCCCATCTCGCCCCTAGACTCCAGGCTGGAGCGGTGGGGACAGCTTTGCTGACCAATATTAAAACGCGAGAATTGTCGCACGTGAACACCATCCTGCCCATTGTGATTGTGTAAAACAAAGGCCAGGAATCAATGCGAACGTGTCTGGAGGCCATCTCGGCCGTGCCCTCTCTCCAGATGAGAGTGGCCTGTATGGAGAGATTTCCTAGTAACGGAGATACAATCATCTTCCCGGTCTGGATCCCAGGCCCTTGCCTGCAGAGAAGTATTTTTCCCATATGCAACCTCTCTCTTTCCGGCCAGCTCAGTGCATTTCCTCTGACCCGGTCCTCAGAGAAGATGGAGAACAGCAAGTATCCCTTACCCCCACCACACCCATGACAACTACTCTGGAAATTTGCAGCTTGCAATTCCCCCTCCACACACACAGGTTTTTCTCCAAGGTGAAAACTTCAACTCAACTTTTAAAATTCATTTTTTCTTTCCATCACAGACAGTAGGAAGGGATTGTAATGTGATAATGTAATCCAAACCCACCCCAAACGGGAATCTCCTGTCCCTACCGTCACCCCCACACCACGCAAAGGCACACGGCGTCCCCGACAGGTTGAACATTCCAGTAGCGGGAACTCCCTATTGGCTAAGGCAGCCATTACTGAAGAGCGCTCTGGTTGTTAGAAAGCTCTTCCTTACAGTATTGCAAGAGGAACCCCCGCCTCTCCTTGCCTGGCAGCTTTCCCACCTCACCTCTGTTGACTGAGGCCGGGTGACAGTGGAGGGGGTGTCAGTGGTTAGAGCTTTAGCAGACTCAGCAGCCCCCCCACTCCCACCCAGGCCCTCAGCGCCTTCCACTCGGAGAGCCAAGCCCGCGGGGTGGGGGTGGGGGTAGAGCGGGGGTGGGTGGGGGCAAGGTGTTAACCCACCGGCTCTGCCCTGCGACAAATCACTTCCAAGTCGGTGACTCAAAAATAGTAACAGTTGTTGGGTTGCGTCTCATTTCCATATTATCAATTTAATGTGGCAAGGTACAGAGGTAGTCCCTTTAGGTCCCGGTCTCTTTCTCAGCGTTCCCCCACCTACTACTCTCCTTTCCCACGACCTGGATTCGCCTGCCTGCCCCCTCCTCTGGATTCGCAGCCCTGGTCGTCCCAGGAGAGACTGTGGGTCTCCGTGGGAGCTGAGCAGGAAGAAAGGCGGGGCCCGCGGGGGCAGCTGCGGCGGGGATGAGGCCGTGAGCTGCAGCCCCCACCCCGTAGCAGCCTCCGCAGGTCCTGACGGAAGCGCAGGCCCAGGAAGGCGTAGAGCACGGGATTGAGGCCGCAGCGGGCGAGGGCCAAGCCGCTGGTCACCAGCAGTGCCAGATCCTTGCGCTTGCTGGCAGGGCAGCTCCGCTCGCGCGCAGCCAGTAGATCGGCGGTATCCAGTAGCAGGGCGAGGCTGTAGGGCAGCTGCAGCACCACGAAGGCCGCCACCAGGGCCACCACGACGCGCAGCGCACGCCGGCGCTCGGGCCCCCTGGCGGCCAGCACCGTGCGGCCCAGGAGCGTGTAGCAGGCCACCATGACGCCCAGCGGCAGCGCGAAGCCCAGGACCACCTGCGCCACGGCGCTCGCCCCCTTCACCGTTTGTGTGAGGCCCTCGGGGAAGACGAGGCGACAGCGTCGTTGGCCTTCCCGCTGCCCGTCCCGGCTGAAGAGGAGAGCAGGCAGTGCCAGGAGCAGCGACAGCAGCCACACGGTGACTGAGACCAAGTGTTTGCGGACGCCGGGAGTGGAGGGCCGCGGCCCGCCTGGGAGCGCTCGCGCGATGGCCACGTAGCGGTCGGCGCTGATACAGGCCAGAAAGAGGAAGCCCGCGTGGAAGGAAGCTGAGTAGAGGCCAGAGATGCTGCGGCAGGTGGCACTTCCCAGACTCCAGCCCTGAAGAGCCCCTGCTGCCGCAAAGGGCAGGGTCAGGGCCAGCAGGAAGTCGGCCAGGGCAAGCTGGAACAGGTGGGCAGAGGTGGGCGAGCGCACTGCGCGTCGGGCTGCGAGATGGGTGGCCAGGACCAGGCCATTGCCGGCCAGACCCAGCGCAGCCACTGTCAGGGAGACACTGGGTTGGAAGGCGCGGCTGAAGGCCTGGACATCGGCCTTGTAGCAAAGCTCCGGCAGCGGCTCAGCTGAGTATGCCTCCTCTTCATCCCCAGAGTAGAGGTCCCAGGAAACCTGGGAGGGTCAAAAGAGAGGCGGGATCTTATGAGACACATCTCACCACTCGGCTTCCCCTCCCACACATGCCTCCCAAGCTGAGAGCTCCTGTGTGGCCAGATGTAACAGTATACGGGTAGAAGACAAACTCTTCTGCAGACTCTTCCTAGCACCCCTTCAGCAGGCCTTGGTTTCCCTTGCACCCCTCCTACCTCTGCTTTCAGCTTCCTGGGTGACCTTGAGCAAGCCACTTGCTCTTTCTGGACCTCAGTTACCTAACATGTAATGTTGAGATTATTATAAATCCTGACCAGCCCACCTCTCAAGGTTGCTGTGAAGATTGCAATATGGAATATAATAGATGAGGAGAACCTGTGTTCTCCAAAAACCATAATACAAAGTTTGTATTATTATTGTTTTTGGAGACAGAGTCTTGCTCTGTCGGCCAGGTTGGAGTGCAGTGGTGTGATTTTGGCTCACTGCAACCTTTGCCTCCCGGTTTCAAACGATTCTCCTGCCTCAGCCTCCTGAGTAGCTGGGACTACAGGCGTGCACCACCACACCTGCCTAATTGTTGTATTTTAGTAGAGATGGGGTTTCACCATGGTCAGGATGGTCTCAAACTCCTGACCTCAGGTGATCCTCCTGCTTTGGGAGTGCTGGGATTACAGGTGTGAGACACCATGCCCCACCCAAAGTTTGTATTATTAATAAATCCTAGAGCTTCAGTTCCCTTTGCAGCGCCCTCTCCTGGATGCCCATATGCAGGCTTTGCCTCAGACCTGAGCCCTGGACTCCAACCTCCACCTGGGGTAGGTTGGATTCTGTTTGTCTTCTTTCTCTTCCCTACCCACCTTCCCTCTACCTCCAGTACCAGCACACCAAACCACTCATGCCAAGTGGGTATCCAGGGTTGGGGCTCAGGTTCTCAGGGCCCAGGTGGGACCCGGGACCTCTAGCTTCAACCCACCTTTCCCTTCAGCCCCAGTCCCTGTCCCATAACCCCTAGCCTCACACCACCAGCCCCATCTATCTGGAGGACCCTTAGTTTGAGATAACGCCAATAATTCTGAATAGGCCATAGGATGGCAAAGGCCTATTTCTAGGTGGGGAGTCCCATCCCTTCCCTGTTTCCTCCCTCTCTGTAACCCTTCTCCCCCTCCCTGCCCCCACTCCCACCTGCTCTGTGGCCTCCGTCCCCATCTCTGGCTACACGGGTTTCTGAGGTGTAGCCACAGGGGTAGAAGTTAAAATTCTAGCAGGACAGGAAGGAAGGGGCGGGGAGAGGGGCCAAGAGGGAGGTGGAGATTAGGGTCTGTCGGCTCACTTTCCCATTCCACCTCCTCTAAAAGACTTTACTGTCTTGTGCAGGATCTGGAATTTGTGGGGAAAGAGAGAGAGAGAGAGAGAGAGAGGAGAGAGGAGAGAGAGAGAGAGAGAGAGAGGAGAGAGAAGAGAGAAGAATGTACTCTATTCTGCCAGTGGAGAAAAAATGGGCTTAGGAATATAATGATTTGCTGTGTGATATTGACTAAATTTCTTGACCTCTGTGAGTCTGAGGTTTTTCATCTGCAAAGTGGAGTAAGGCAAACATGTTAAATTCGCAGTGCCCAGAGAGTGCCCAGTAACACTCCTGGAGTAGAATTTGCCTTCAGAAAATGTTAGATTCTTTTACTTACCCTTCATTCCATTTTCAGGCACTACCCCCTCCACCATTTCCCTTTTCTTGAAATTGTCAGGATGCTTCTGGGCTTTGCTTCCCCGTCCTCACCCTTGTGCCTTAGTGCCGGCCAGCCTTGGGTTACTTGGGGTTTTCCCGGTGGCTAGAGGCTCTCTACCCCCGCCCTTTCGCAGCAGGGCTGAGGCACGCGCTTGCGCGGGGTCCGGGAAACCTGCGCGTGCCAGGAGAGAGAGGCTGGGGAAGGGGGGAGGTGAGAGGAGAGAGGGTGGAAAGGAGAGGATAGAGAAGAGCGGAGGACCAGGAACCGACAGAGAGAGAGAGAGAGAGAGAGAGAGAGAGAGAGAGAGAGAGAGAGAG